TCACAGTATGAGAGCTAGAATTTTCTTACTTGCTTGCTTGCTCGCCTTGCCCCTTGTCACTGGGGTTGGTGCCTTTATATAGGCCTTGCTCATGTACCGCCCCTGAGATCTCTGGGAGGTCATGTCTATTTGGTATGAGATTCGTAGAGGTAACTGCCATGCACGTTGACCACCCTCTAGGTCGTTCGGTACGTGGGCCAACTTCCAAGGATCGTGGGAGTGTTTGGATATGCATGCCGAATTCGTCGACGAACACGTCTTGCAAGTCGCCAGGTCGGTGCACGTGCTAGACCGCCAGGTCGCGCCTGTGCCAGGCTGGACACCATTAACTTGGCAAGTTGTTGCCTGAGTGATTTCGGGTGTCACCTAGTTGTTCTGAGGTGCCATGTGTCACAACATCATTGGAGGGCAAAATCCGCCCTCATCATTTGCCCCCCACTCTAGAGCTGAAAGTAACTTTGACGAAGGGAGTAGATTTCTCCTTGTGGCCCGGAACGAATAATTCGATGAGCTCGTAAGTGTTAATTCAATTCCTTAGGCTCTGAGAACAACTTGCAGTCTGCTCCTTGATTTTGCCCATGCCGAAGAGGCGACTAGGTCTTATGTGGTGAGGAGGTCTTCGCTAGTTCGGTATTTTGGCCCTTAGGCTCTGGGAGCGACTYGTAGTCCACTCTCCTTGATCTTGCCCATGCCGAAGAGGCGACTGGGTCTTATGTGGTACCGAGGTTTTCGCCAGTTCGGTACTTTGGCCCTTAGGCTCTGGGAGCGACTYGTAGTCCACTCTCCTTGATCTTGCCCATGCCGAAGAGGCGACTGGGTCTTATGTGGTACCGAGGTTTTCGCCAGTTCGGTACTTTGGCCCTTAGGCTCTGGGAGCGACTCGTAGTCCACTCTCCTTGATCTTGCCCATGCCGAAGAGGCGAYTGGGTCTTATGTGGTACCGAGGTCTTCGCCAGTTCGGTACTTTAGTGCTATAGCTGCATTGCATTAGCTTCATGACGCCGGTCACCCACTCCTACAAGAAACTACTAGGATCTCGACCTACAGGGGCAGCACTACTGACTTTAGGTCACCAGCTCGCACGGGAGCCTTGGAAGGCTCGACTAGCAAGGGCGTCCATGCAGTCTGTTGGCCGCCAACTTCCGCGGAAGCCACGAAGAGCTCATCTTTGTAGAAGGGACCTCGCGAAGAGGACTGATGAGGCTTTATCCAAGTTGAAATAAAGTTGGTAGAGTTGCTTAGTCTGTTAGCTATCAACTTCCTGCATAGTCTTTGAATTCATAAAAAATGGAAACTATAAAGCGAGAGCTTTAGTTTCTAAAAAGTGAGGACTTAGCTTTCTGGAAGAAGAGGATTTAGCCTTTTAGAGGATGAGAACTTAGCTTTTTGTAGCGTTTCCCACAGACGACACCAATTGATGTAACCGTTTCTGGTCACGTATCATTTTCATTTGGCTAAGTACCTCGCCATTTGGTCTGCTTCCAAGCGGTCGATGACTCAAGCCGAAGTGAACTTTGGCTGCTGAGCTGGGCAGGCTAGGTGGCGAGCTGACTATAGTGTCGAGCTGCCTATAAGGTTCCAAGCTGACCAGGTGGCAAGCTGCCTGTGAGGTGCCGAGCTGCTTGTGAGGTGTCGGGCTGACCAAGTGCCAAGCTGCCTGGGAGGTGCCGGGCTGCCTGTGAGGTGTTGGATTGACCAGGTGTCGAGCTGAATTGATGAGCTTCGTTGCTCTTTAGTGACCTGCATGGAGCCAAATGTCAGAGGACCCGGGGTGACTAACCCGGCGAGGTCGCTCCGATGCTTAAGTTAGTACTCTCATAGTAGACTGCGAGCTAAAAATCACACAGTATGAGAGCTAGAATTTTCTTACTTGCTTGCTTGCTCACCTTGCCCCTTGTCACTGGGGTTGGTGCTTTTATATAGGCCTTGCTCATGTACCGCCCCCGAGATCTCCGGGAGGTCGTGTCTAACTGGTATGAGATTCCTTGAGGTAATTGTCATGCACGTTGACCACCCACCAGATCGTTCGGCACGTGGGCCAACTTCTAAGGATCGTGGGAGTGTTTGGATATGCATGCCGAGTTCGTCGGCGAGCACGTCTTGCAAGTTGCCAGGTCGGCGCACATGCCAGACCGCCAGGTCGCGCCTGTGCCAGGCCACCAGGCCGCCAGGCTGGACACCATTAACTTGGCAAGTTGTTGCCTGAGTGGTTTCGGGTGTCACCTAGTTGTTCTAAGGTGCCATGTGTCACAATGTCATTGATGGGCAAAATCCGCCCTCATCACAAACCAAAATCAATTTGGATGGAGACCAACAAGACATATTAAATTGAACCAGTGCAAACTTAACGGTCAAGGTATTTATTGGTTTGGATTGGACCTAGTCCATCCATAATAAAGTTATATTGGATTGGGTTGGATTGAGACAATATCTGGTCCATTGATAGAACATAAGAACATAGATGTCAGTAGACTAGATTTGGGTTAAAACCAATGTAAATTAAAATAAATTTGAACAGATTGGATAGTCCAAAATATTTATTGGATTGGATTGAATCTGATCCATTTGTAATGAACTCACATTGAACTCGGATTGGACCAAATCATCCAATTGACACCCTTAGGTAAAGGTAAAGCACCTCTTATCTCACTAACAGGCGAATGGGCATACAAGACATTGAGGGGGTGTTCTTTTCTTTCTTTTTTTTTTTGGATTTTAGGAGGGGAGAAAGTTGGTCAATGGGATTTTGGTTCCTACTGACCAAGAATACCATGTTCATGTTTTCAGATTAATATGGGGGTCAGGGAAAGTTTATTTTCATGGGTAAGTGATACCATCTCCTAGGTGGGTAAATAACTTTCCCACCTATGAGGAAAGTTGCTAAACTTGAATAAACTTGAATGGGACAAAAATGCCCCTTTTTAATAATAGACTTTTATGACTAAAATGGTCATTATCTTATTTACCTGAGAAATAAAAGAATATAAGTAAATGCACTTATCTGAATAAGTGTTTACTAGGAAAAACTTATCTAGATAATTTCATTTAATCAGATAAATAATTTACCGAAAAACAAACGGAACCTAAGAGAAATCTTTAAAACTAAAAATTAGTCTAAACTAGATGTTGTACCAAACGATCGACCTGGGACATCTGAAAAGAGCCCTTAGTCTGATTGGGAAGTAGATGTCCATAAAAAGGAGAAAATGACAGGATTTTGTAAGCATAGTATAACGAATACTTGAATGAGAGATGTGGTAGAGGATAGGATGTAGGAAAGAACAAAAAGGCCAAAATAACTTTTTATTTGGATTTTAGATATTATTATTCAGATTGATGAACATTACGTGATCATATTGACAAACTAAGCAATAATATTGGGTTGTTTTATCCAACAAGTCATTCCAAGCTAATTGGCTAATTCCAAATTTGTCCATCTCATCTCATTGAATAATCTTGAGAGAAAATTAAAACCACAAAGAGAATATATTATTGTGGAAGAATTGATTGATCACATTTGAATCAGAGAAAATAGTTAGAACAACAATGGCAAATAGAAAGTTGGAAACCAAACTACTATTATTGTATAAGATAAAATTAAGAAACCCAAGCAAACCTTTCAAACTGATCAAAAAAAGTTAACCAAAATTAGTTTCAAGAAGTAGTTATTTTGCTTATGGGAAAGCAATCATAGTACTTTTTTTGTTTTCTCTTCAAAATTATTAATTTTTATTTTACCTTGTTAATTGGGAAAATAATTTCTAAATAGATAATAATTTGTTTGATTTTTATATTATGCTCCAAATTTGATTATTATAAAAAGACAAGATAGCCCCTTGATATTAATTTTCTATATTTTAAATAGGGGTAAATTTTGTCTTTTTTTTGGAATAATTGTGATGTACCAAAATCAGTCCTTAAAAAAAATCAAAACACCCTTTTAGCACACATTTTGAATGGGGATTGAACTCTATAAAAATAAAATTAAAAAAAAAAAGCGAACTGCCCCCACTGCTTTTAAGCTTATCCTAATATGCATATTTAATTAGGAAATAAAGTACATCTAGGGCACCATCGTTGACTGAACGATATAAATATGGGACATCCAAAAATCCTTAGATTGGAATAACTTTCTTGTATGGCCCCACGGTGGGTAGATGGGTAACTACTACCAACTCCGGTGATGCAAGGGAAAATGGCCAAATGGGTACGGGTTCATGGACTACGATGGAGCTTCAGTCCATTACTACATTTTAATATTTCATTCTGGAATTAAAAAAACAAAAATAATAAAAAATGAATTATCAATTAATAATATAGAATGCTAACCCTCGAATGATCTCTCTCTTACACTCATTAATTGATGACAGCTTAACCTTGGGCCGCCATTTCGTGGGAAACTGGTTAGGTGGAGATTAGGTTTGAACTTGGTCTTGAGATCTCTGACAGCCAAACAGCCCAACCCCATTGAAAAACTTGGGCCAGGAACGCTGACTGTTTCGGGTCGGTGTGAAACGATTGACCCAAACTCATATTCGGGTCTTAAACTTGAGCTGAGTACCCATAGTTATGGACTTATGGGTCTTGGATCTGGACTCTGGTGTCATATGGCCCATAGTTGCAGTTGATATTCGTATTTTCAAGCATACCCAAGTAACCCTACAGAGCAAATTGGATTCTGGCTCCGATATAATGATCGGGTCAAAAAAATACTGGACCCAGGGGCGGCCAGCGGCCTCCATCAAAACAAAAACCACAGACACAAGTAGATAAAAGAGGTCAAAACCTTCAACGTCTAAAAAGATTCAACCTCATCTCATCTGAACCCCAGTTCTCATCTGCCAGCTGTTTGAATTAAATCCCCTCCAGCTGTTCACAAAGAGACACGCCCACGCTCTCGTCATCTTCTTGGATTCTTCTCCTTCTATACTTGCTCAGTTTTCGATCCCCTTTCCCTGTAGTCTCCCGCCACTATATAATCACCCCAACTTGAATTCCCTGATAACACAATAGCAACATTTGATCACCTCTCTCTCTCTTTACACACTACTGTTGAGAGTTCTCTTTTCTTCAAAATCAATCCTTCAGTGTTCAGTTCAATAAGATGCAGAGAGCTACTGTGATTTTAATGGCTACCTTGTTAGGAAGCCTCATAGTGCTGTCCTCGGCCGGTAACTTCTACCAAGACGTGGACGTCACTTGGGGTGACGGCCGGGGAAAGATACTTAACAATGGGCAGCTTCTTACTCTATCTCTCGACAAGTTTTCTGGCTCTGGTTTCCAGTCCAAGAAAGAGTATCTGTTTGGGAAGATCGACATGAAACTCAAGCTCGTTCCCGGCAACTCAGCCGGAACCGTCACCACCTACTATGTAAATCTCTTGACCTCTTGTTTCTTTGATTCTTTCCCTTTCACCGAGCATATATATGCAGGGTTGTGATTGACGTAAGATTTTGGACTATTTCCACTTGTCACAGCTCTCATCTCAAGGCTCAACTCATGATGAGATAGACTTCGAGTTTCTTGGGAACCTGAGCGGAGACCCTTACATCCTCCACACCAATGTGTTCGCCCAAGGGAAGGGCAACAGAGAGCAACAATTCTATCTCTGGTTTGATCCCACCAAGGATTTCCACACCTACTCCATCCTTTGGAATCCTCGGCAAATCATGTAGGTGTACAGTTCTTAATTGGTATATTTTTAATTAAAATGGGTGTTCTGAAACTAATGCATCTGTCTGCCGCGCAATTTTCTTTCAGTTTCTCGGTGGACGGCACACCTATCCGAGTGTTCAGAAACATGGAGTCTGCGGGCGTTGCTTTCCCCAACAAGCAACCCATGAGGGTGTACGCCAGCCTATGGAATGCAGACGATTGGGCGACGAGAGGTGGGCTTGTGAAGACTGATTGGTCGCAAGCACCCTTCGTCGCCTCCTACGCCAACTTCAATGCCAATGCCTGTGTCTGGTCTTCAGGTGGTTCTTCATCATGTTCTGGTAATTCTCCTTCAACTGCTTGGATGAATCAGGACTTGGATGCCGCCGGCCAGAAGAGGCTGGCTTGGGTGCAGAAAAATTACATGATCTACAACTACTGCACCGACGTGAAACGCTTCCCTCAAGGTCTTCCCCCTGAATGCACGCGCCCCTGATCTTGATTTGTTTGTATATGTGTATAGAGTATAGAATATTAGAGAGAATGTACGTAAGCCATTGACCAAAACAAAAGGGAATAAAGGAATAAAAGAGCTTTCTTTAATTTGTTGCTATTTTTCTTGTTCAGATTGTTGTTTCACAAAGCCAATCATGAAGTGCAAATTATAAAGTAATATATGTTGGAAAATGGGGTCATTGTAATTTTGGAGGAGGCGCGTATTATTTGCCCCCACTCAGTTTCACCGAGTTTGCTGTTGGGTTTAACAGTTAATGATTGTTAACTTTGAATTGTACCTCTTAATCATACCCGATCGAATCGTGACTGTTAATTCATCAACGGTGATCAACAGTCAACATCGCACTAAAATCAAAGTAACCTTTCGCGAGCCACACGGATGCGTGCGAAGTGTGAGCAAAGTGCGCCTCTAAAGTGTCTCATTGCACCGTATACACGCGTTTTGCGGCATCAAACTCCCATACTCTCTTCTACTATTTCTAAGGAGTGTAAATAAATTCCTATTAAAATACTGAAAACAAAACTTATAATTTTCCAATGTGAAACAAATTCAAAACTGGGTTTTGTAAGAGATAAATTAATTTTTCAATTAAGTGTGCAAATACAATTTCTTATGTAATTGACCAATCAAACCCATTAGATTGTGGTTTATGATCACTTGACCTTTACAAGCAGAATAAGCAAGTGTGTGAGCGGCTCTGTTAAAACTTCTATTTACATGAACAAAAATATATATTTGCAAAAAGAGAGGTAAGCTTTTTGAGCTTTGGCCAGTGCAGCTGCTCGATCCATTCTGCTGGTGATCCTTTGCTACCCAGAAAATGTAGTAATTTCTCAGAATCGCTATATATGTAGATTTCTTTGTCAGTTAAGGTAGAAGCTGCTTTGAGACCTGCTATAATCATAGCTTGAGACTGCCCAGTATGGTCTCCCTTCAGCAATGATTTCACCTGAAGCTCGCTTGAAGATGAAAACGTCTTCCTGCAGTTCCTGTTAGAGGGTCAAAAGAGCCATCAACCTACAGTACGTTTTGCATGAGGTTCAAGCTGGGAGGTGCGGCAATACAAATATTGTTGATATGAGGGCAAACTAACAGTACTGTCTATTAATTATCTCAACCCTCTCAATGTGGCGGAAAAGCATTATTGTTATTTGGTCGAAAGTCCATTTGGAGTTGGAGCAGAGAATAGAGTGCTTTTGGTGTGACGCAAACTGTATTAAGTGCAATCAAACGTGGTGTTTTTTTGGACCTACTGTAGGTGTGATAAGGATCAAGTCTTCTATCATTAATTAAAACAATGCACCGGCCTTTTCTTTCTTTCTCTGGGTGTTTTATTTGAGTCAGGACATTAAACAAGTTAGAGCTAGCTAGTGGAACAACTTTAGCCCTTTTATAGATTAAGTTGTTCCATTTTTACTGTTCATAGCTTTTTTGCCTACCCCTAATTAGCTAGTAATAAATCATTTAAGTGCTTATAATGGATATAGTATTGAATAGGATGAAATGATGAAAAAAGATTCCTATAACCGACCCATACTGTTGAGATAAGGTTTAGATGACCGCATTGCAACTTTGGTGGTGATGGTGATGATAGATTGATGGAGTAGAAGAATTGGTGGTGTTGATGGTGATGGTGATGGTGATGGTGATGATAGATTGATGGAGTAGAAGAATTGGTGGTGTTGGTGGTGGTGGTGATGGTGATGGTGATGGTGGTGGTGATGGTGATGATAGATTGATGGAGTAGAAGAATTGGTGGTGTTGGTGGTGATGGTGATGGTGATGGTGATGGTGATGGTGATGGTGATGCTGATTGATGAAGAAGAAAAAGAAATTAAGCTGTTCCAATTTTCTAAATGTGTGTGTTGGGATTAAGATTCCTTTTGTTTTTAAAACACAAATAATAACCTCTCTAATGGGGCCACAACTAAAATGATTGTTCTACCATAAATTGGTTTAATCAGGTGTCTTGTAACTAAGGCTCAGTTTGGAAGGAGTATAAATATAAATATGTAGAATGCAAAACCCTTTATTTTGTATCATTTTGTACATATTTGTATTTATACTCTTTGAAAGGAGAGTACAAATACAAATATGTAGAATGTAAAACCTTATATTTTGTATTATTTTGTGTTGTATACATTTGTATTTGTATTCCTTCGAAACTGAATCTTATATTTTTTATTACTAAACTTATATTTGCACTATACATATTTATATTTATACTCTTTCCAAACTAATCCTAAATTGCAACATAAGAATGTCAGGATGGTTTTAGGGCCGGTATAGGCCCAGCTTGAACGATTGAACCTTGGACCCAAGCCTGGCTATATATATGATAATATCTGCATTTAATTTTTATAAGTTGCACAGAACCCAAGGCAAGTATTTGCTTTGTCTAGTATTGATATGCGTGTATGTGCATGTAAATAGCAGGTATAATATGTGGGTTGAATAGGGCTTAAATTGGATCAAACTTGGATTAGGTTTGGTCAGGCCCGACCTGAGTTTGGGTTACCCAAGCCCAACCTGAATTTAGGTCAGGCCTAATTACTTAGGCCCACGCCCAACTCAAAACCCAAAAGTCTAAGTCCACTCATGCAAAAGCTCTGGTCAAGAGTGGGGTTCGTCCAGCCCAAGTTGTAGATTTACTAGTAACCATCAAATTTGGGTATTATCCTGATCTTTTATGGGTTCTGATGCTCCAAACCTATTCATTCAAGATCATCGAACGATTTAGTTATTTTACAGGAAAAAAAAAAGGTTCTACTGGGTAAACATTCTTTGTCATCCTCTCAAAAGGATTAAGAGAGAAACAGAAGAGACAGAAAGAAGACAAGACCCACCTGATTCCACTGGATTGAAATACATAAATAAGTAATAAATTGTAAAGCCAAAAGCATCATAAGTTTTCTCTAATATGTTGATCAACATGTTAAAGAGACAAAGAGGAGGTACAAATTTGGATACAGATCAAATAACAAAGCTTGCCCAAATTTGTTTGGTTGCATGTATAGAAGAATGATATTATAATTTGTTTGTTATTAAAAGGTGAAAAAAATTGGAGATTGGTCTGCTTAATCTTGGTATTGCAAATCAATCTTATACTAAATTGTACGATACACAGGTGTCATGAAGACAAAACTGAGTGGGAGATTTGGGGTAGTGTGTTAAATTAGGATTATGTGAATACAACAAAATTGTCTGACAACCTTTTGTTCGTTCTTTATTGAGTTCGATCTTCAGATGAGGTAATAGAGCCAACATTTATTAATTTATAAGTTTATATATAAATTATCAATACAACTTGTGGCTGTAGTTTAGTGGTAAGAATTCCACGTTGTGGCCGTGGAGACCTGGGCTCGAATCCCAGCAGCCACACGATTTTCCATTTTTACTTCACCAAACAGCTTGAGTCCAGATTTTTCTGCCAACAAAATACGTTCCAACACTCATACTTTTATATGATTGCATTCTTTTCTTAGCTAATTGGTAGTATAGGGAGATAACCTCTGGGTGTTGAGGCAACAAGACAATATCAAAATTAAGCTCTTGATTTGAGTTCAACTCAGTTTTAATTCCACACAAATCCTGTCTTACTATTATGCTCTATCAAAACTTAAGCTTTTTTCTTTTTTTTTTCTGTTGAATTACTAATCCTTAGATATTATGATCTTATCATCTTGTTTGGGATCAATAACAAAACCTTTTTGTGATGAGATTACATGACCTTGAGCCTCCCTTTATTTCTCCATTTTACTCCCAAGCATGCATGGACTCGGACCTTGATGGAAGGTTTAATGCTTTTCATTCATCAATAGCAAAACCACTTCTCCCAGTCTTTTTTTTTAAAAAAAAAAGAGATGGAATTTAATTACACAACACGTGTAAAAGAATACCTTAAGCTCCATTTGGTTTGTGGGGATGTCATGAGATGGGATAGGAAAAATGTGGGATTATAAATCCTAACTCTTGGGATGTGAGTTCCGCCGTTTTGTTGGGAAACAAGTGGGAGTGTAGGGGGAAACTTGTTTACCAAAAAAAAAACACCTACCTTGTAAAATTTCTAAGAGTAAAAACTAGATCCGTGACCCATAAATAAACTATTAGTTATTTAAAAATATCTCAATAAGATATATTAATTAAAACAATTAATCAATAATTTAATAAAAATATTAATCAATAAATAATTTAATAATTAAGTGTTTTTAGAATAAAATATTAAAATTTTTAAATTTCATAAGTATTAATAAAATAAAATATTAAATAATAAAAAATAAAATATTAAATAATGTTAATAATTAATTAACTAATTAATATCAAATAATTTAATTAACATAAATAATTTATAAATTAAAATAATTTAATAATTTTTGTATAATTAACATTAATATATTAAAATTATTAATTAAGTCATGGGTATAAATAAAATATAATATTAATAATAACTTATAAACTAATAAAATGTAAAGTATTAGTTAAATAAAATAATTAATTAATGAATAAATAATAAGAATTTTATTATTAACCTAATTATTGATTTAATAAAAATAATTAAATAATAAAATGTTAAACGATTAAAATTAATTAATATAAAGTAGAATTATTAATTAGTTCATAGTAAATATTAATAAAATAAATTTTAAAATTTTAAAATATTAATTCTTAATTAGTAATTAATTAGATAATTATCAATGTTAATTAATTACAAATTATTTCATAAAATATTAATAATAAATTATCAAATAATAAAAATATTACAAATTAATTAATTAATAATTGTTACTAGGGTTGATTTTCCCACTATTTTCTCTTTTGCAACCAAACAATGAAACGTGAAAAATTTCCACCCATTTTCCCTTTCCCATCCCACCAAAATCTTCTCACAAACCAAATAAAGCTTTAGAGCATCAAATAACAAATATAGTCTAAGGGTCCATTTGATTCATGATGGGAATCGGAATCAAAATGTGAATTAAGGGCCCATTTCGTTTGTGGGAATAGGGGTCTGGAATTGGAATATGAATGAGCCATTCTGATTCCAACTATTCGATTGGATGGATTTGGAATCCCATTCTCAGTTTGGTGGAATAGTTTTCCCCCAT